TGTGTGTGTGTGTGTGTGTGTGTGTGTGTGTGTGTGTGTGTGTTGTCAGACCCTGCAAGTGCTGGTGCAAGGCGAGGGCCCCGATGTGACGCCCGTCAAGGTGCTGAACTGTGACACCATCTCACAGGTGAAAGAGAAGATCATTGAGCAGGTGTACAGAAACGTGCCGTACTCCCAGCGGCCGAAGGTTGACAGCGTCACTCTGGGTGAGTCGGGAGGAGAGACCAGAGGCCAAGAGAAATCCATTAATGACCAGAAATGTGACAAAAAGTCAAATTGGAAAGTGCTTTTTTTATTTATGGTTCTATAAAATTTGTTTTATTTTTGTCCCAAATTCAGTTTGTAGCAGCCAAGATACGTCAGGAACTCGCCCAAATGAGCGAAATCCTTTAAATTCAGCGTTTTTTACTGGAATCATGGAAATGATAGGGCCCTACTATTGTTTCATTTAAGCTTTTTCTGTATATTTTATATTGATTTAGCAAATCTGTTCCTGCTTTAAAATTAAACATACAAAACTTTTTTTGTGGTTAAGAAGTAATTCATTGTCAGCAAAATCAAAATATTAAAAAAAATCTTTCAAGTTTGGCTCACTGCTGTAGTCAAAAACCTTGGGGATGGACTTAAAAGACTAAAGCTCCACAGACGTTTTCCAACATCAAAGCTTGTTTATATTCCCATCATGCCACAGATCTCATTTTCTTTATACATTTTTAGATAGCAGAGAATCCTCTTTGTTCGTGGTGAATAAAAACGACCCTCCTCCCCTGTATTTGATGGTGCTTGTAAATGAATTGCACAGTATGTCACATGTGGTGTGTTGGGCTCTAGTCTGCAGTTATGCACAAAGCACTGTGGTGCAAATCACAGCTTGGGAGTTGAGTTTAAATTATTCATGAAATAGGAATGTGTCACTTCATCACTGTCTCTAAATCCCAGGAGAAGGGTGGTCACAAAGCAGGATGAATAGCCGAATTTGTTTAAAATCACATTATTACAGAGTAACCTCGTAGTAACAGTGGCTCATTCTGATATAACATTTGAATAACATAATAATAAAAAGCTACTGCAACACTTGAGCCAGCATCACAAAACACCTTTTGTTCTCTTCCTACCTTGACAGAGTGGCGCCCCGGTTCAACGGGACAGATTTTATCAGATCTGGACTTGACCTCCCAGAAGGAAGGCAGGTGGAGGCGCATCAACACTCTGGCCCATTACAATGTGAGTGCTGACAGAACGTATTACTGCAATTTTACAAACTATATTTTGACAAAGACAAATACAAAAAATAAAAAGGGGGATTTGATAAGTATGCAGAGATAATAGCTAAATGAATGTGTAGAAGTAAACCCAGCCTGATGTTTTTGCACCGTCTCAGTCATTCTGAGTTGTACATTGCAGAGATTTGCATGTAATCTGTATGCGCTTTTTTTTCTAAACTTGAATACATTAGCACTTACTGAGTTGTTTGTATCCATCTTCAAAAACCCATCAAATGTTTAAATCAAGCACCGTTTACCACCATCACATGAAAGTGTTGAAACTAAAAAGAAATGTTTATTTCAGTCAAAAACTCTGAAAATGTCATAAAAGAATCTGTAAACTGTGAAAGTCCATTCAGGTTGAGTAAATCCGTTAATACAATTAAGTAGAAATATAATCCTCACGGTAGCAGTGATTTGCAGTACATTTGCTTGTATTTACCATTTTTAAATCTGGTTTAAATGGAATCCAAAATGCCCACAAACATGGCCTTCAAAAGCTTCCATAAGACAAAGTGTTCATGACAAGGACATTTCTCCTCTTCCTCTTGCTTACGACCACACATAGCATTCAGTTGCAAATGTAATGTAAAAATTATGCAACAATGAATGTGACCTGACTCATGTATTAATATTTATATCTGCTCTGACTGCAAATCCTCCTTTTTAGATGGTGTTTGGTATGCCTTAAAGTGTGGCATGTTCTGAAGGATAGCATTAAAAGTTAGCAGAATTACACTTGGATTCTTTTATGTGTTGTTTGAGATCCATCAAGCAGATTTTTATGAACAAATTGTATTTTATCTACTGTAGATAGCTCCATGGACAATCTCAGTTTAAGAAACTGTCCAAAAGGGTTCAGATTAAATTAGATTGCTGTTGTCTTACAGATAGTTTCGTCACTTTCTCAAATGGTGATGTGTAATTAGAACTTTGAGTGGTAACTTCTATCACAGAACACAGAGTATAAGGAACAGCGCAGTTTTTCTCAATGCTATGCTATTGGCAGGCAGACTTATATATTCAACAGCCTCAAGAGGCTGCAACCTGTGTATTAGCGTGGATGTTAAATTTTTATTTTAAGACCTGCAACGGGAACCCAGAAATTAAAGCCAGAATATGACCAGCTTCCTTGTAGGCTGGTCTCATCAACATGTAAAGAATAATCAGACATCATATGGAAACCTGGAAATTGAAACTGGAAGTGTTCCCACAGGATAGTTGTAGTAGAAGGTTTAGGTTTACCATGGTTGTGTGTTGGGGAGTAGGTAGAACTTAAAGCCCCACCACCCAGTGCACAGATTGTGATCCCAAAAGTACATGTTGTCTCTTACAAATGTGACCTGTTGGCTTCAGTTCTCAACAACGAGAGAAGGAAAAACATTTGATGGAGTATTTACTCACATGCCTCCACCCATCAGTATGTAACAAAAAGAAGCAGCGCTAAGTCTTCCTCCTCCACATGGACAATAGAACATTACCATGGCTAAATAAGATAAAATAATACATCTTTGATTTTTTTGTGTTTGTGTGTTTGCTGCATTATGTAGTTATATATTTTTGTTGAAATACTAATTTGTCTAATACGTTTAGCAGTTTTTAGTTATTTAATTCTTAAAATAAAAGGTCATGTAATACCATGTTTGTGTGGATGGGAGCAGGTGAAGTTAGTAAAATGCAGACTTTGGCTTCAAAAGTACAAGGTGGCAGCACCTATAACTGAGTCCTGCATACAATCCATGAAAAGAGTTAGTGATACAAAATTGATGGCATTGCAAAGTTTTTTTAATAGTCTTCAGATTTAGAACACTTCTTTTTGTCTTCTCACTCCTGCTGTCTTGCCTTGCTTCACGTTTGTGTTATCCCAAAGACGACTGAATGCCACTAAATCTTCTTGCCACTGTATTGATTCTTAGAAAATAAAGGTCACTCAACAGTATCCCCTGCTTGTCCTTCTTCTCAGCCACTTAAATCTACCTCTTTCAAAGCAACTCTACCTCTTTTGATCTTTCCCTTTGCGGTCTCGCAGGTGTTAAATCACAACTTACTGCTGTAGATGCATTGGGTGGGTCAGAGTAGTGCTTATCAGTGTATCTGTGGGGTCAGTAATGGGGGCAATATCAAAACCGTCCTGCAAATATCTTGGTAAATTATTTAGAATTAGTTTAGAAGCACTTAAAAGGCTGCTGATTGTAGTTACAGCGACAGTTAAATGGAAAGGTTTTCAAAATACATCTTTGGGATTTTAAGGTACGTTTTCCTCACTAAAGTCTTCTGTTTCCTGTAGGTACGAGATAATGCCACATTAGTTTTGTCCCGGGTAGTACATACGCAGCAGAACTATGACCAGAACCAGGAAAATCACGAAGAGCGTATGTATTTCCCAGCACACCCAAACACATCTGCATTACCCAGAGCACATGTGTAGTTGCTTTTGTCTTCTTTCCTCTGGGCTTTTTAAATATATTCTCTCTCTCTCTCTCCCTCTCTCTCTAATTAAATATGCTAAAACATGTTGTTTTATGTGTTGCACACTTTTAGATCCTGCCAAAATTGTAAATGCCTTTGTTCTCATCGTTTTAATATGTATTTCAGAAGAGTTGTTCATTCTCTGCTTTCCAACAAACGTCCCTCCTATTTTTAATCATCTGAAAATGTTTTGTGAGGATGTGCTTGAATAAAAAAAAAAAACCAAGAGTAATTACAAGAAAGTTAAAAGCATTGTTTCTCTACAACAGGAAATGCTCTGTTGGACGACGATAAAGTGTTTCACTTGGTGAGGCCAGCAGACGAACTGGATGAGATCAAATCTAAACGAGGAAGTATAAAGGACAAGTCGATGACCAAAGCCATTACAGAGATCTATCTGACACGGTTACTCTCTGTTAAGGTAGAGCTTCAACATAAAACTGGTTATGTGTTGAGATATTAGGTTTGTAATTCGGTATTGCAGTGCTTACTTTTGTTTTTCTAACAAAGGTTTTTAAGTTGTTGCCAATTCAGTAGTGGTATTAAACAGAATAATAAATACTGTAGTCACTATAAAAAAGTTGTCTCTGTCTCAAGGGGTAGATGTTTTTGGATGTCCTCTCTTTTGTTGGCCGGTCTAACGTTAAATTTGGGTCTCTTTCAGGGAACACTCCAGCAGTTTGTGGATGACTTTTTCCGCAGTGTGCTGTGCTCTGGAGCCGTTGTGCCACCAGCTGTCAAATATTTCTTTGACTTTCTGGATGAGCAAGCACTGAAGCAATGTGTGGACGAGGAGACCATCCATATCTGGAAGACTAACAGGTCCGATTTCAATTTAACTTTACACAGCTACTGTCATAGTCAGGCCAGACTATTTACTGATGTACCAATTTTACATTTTTACCTTATTTTCACAAAAGGTGAGAAACCACTCACTTCAGCTATGCTGAAAAACATAGCAAATGATTTGGTGCTTTAAATGTTGCCAGCAAAAACACAAATAACAAATTTCTAGGCTCTTTTTTTTTTTTTTTTTTTTGCTGCCTTTGCCTAAATGTAGATAAATCTTTCCAAATAAACCTTCATAACAAAAGTCTGTATCTCAGCTGATGCCTTTTGTGGTTTGGACCAGGGTTATTATAGTTAACTAAAACTAACTAAATAACAAAACTGAAATTGAAAAAACATTTTAGTTAACTAAAATAAAAACTGTAATAAAATGAAAAAACGATAACTAACTAAAAATGTATGATTTTTTTACAAAACTAACTAAAACTAACTGAAATTATAGATGAAATATCCTTAGTTTTAGTGTTTGTCAAATTTTATTTATTATTATTATTTTTAATTGAGTAGTTTCACATTAGCTGTGGGCAGCTTACAGCACCTCATGGTCTGTAACAACACTTGTTCACAGTCTGCTGCTGCTCAGCATCATCTGCCAAATGACAACAACAAAAGTTCAAAAGCGATGTCCACTTTGGGATTTATTTCAATATGACTGCGAGAAAAATAAGCAAGTGTCTTGTAGTGGAAACAGGTGAGAAAACGGGTGGAAAACTTCTCAAGGGAAAAACTGCATGAATCAAGCTCACACAAGATGTCTAACTATGACTATCTTAACACACTAAATTATCTCAGTAGCTCCTGTGAAAAACAAGCAACAAGCAGCACCAGGTTAGAGACAACTATTGTCATCGTCCTTAAATAATTGCCCAAGTACTTTTTTTGGCAAAATTGAGTTACGCTTTTATTTTAGGAAGGTGTTGCTATAATGGACTGTTTTAACTAGCGACCAAAAAAACTGTTGGTTAGTTAACTCACAGGAACATCACAAGCTTGAGAATACATTTGCAAATAGGGTTATTCAAACTATAAACACTAAACTAAAACTAAGCATTTTATAATGCAATAATAACTAATAAAAACTGGCAAATCCACTGTAAAAACTAATTAAAACTAACTGAATTAAGAAAAAAAAGTCACAACAAAATACAACTAAACTATAATGAAAAATCCAAAACTATTATAACCTTTGTTTGAACTCATTATACATCTCTTAACCATTGTGCAAGTGAAGCCTGTTCAAGCAGGACCGATCATTACTGTCTGGATGAAAAACAAACCAATGAACAAAGCAAAACATAATGTAAAACCAAATGTAAGCTCAAATCTTGTATTCTCCAATGAGTTGTAAATCAATAGATTTGGACCAACTCTCAGGTCAGGTCATTTACTTCATTTCATGACATAAGCTCACAAGATAAAAACTCACTCCTTTTAATAGAAAGAGACAAAAGCTTTTATTTTTTTATTTTCATTTATATTAGCCACACATTGCATCACAGAAACGGCACATATAGTCAGACTTATATCATACACATATCACATTACAAATGTAAGCATGTTGCATGAGAATAAAAATGCTCCTTGACATTTTTATCCCAAATTGTTTCCCAAATTGCACAACACACTCCAGTTTAATGCAGTGCCCCGCTCTATGGAGCAAGCCCTCCAGAGATCTATTTTCAAGTAAGTCCTGACCCAGGTTTTTGAAGCCCCAGCTGTCTGCATTGAAACTTTGAAACTGTCTGCCCTTTATTAGGTGATGTAATGAATGAACACAGTTAAGAATTGCTCAAAGATACTCACTCATCAACATGGTGACTGCTCAGACTTGCTCAAGTGAATAAAAATGTTGGTTAAAAAAACGAGGTGTGGAAGGTTAGAAGGTGAGAACAACTCAAAATAAAGAATGTGTGAGCAACTCTGACGTGTCACAAACATACCTTTGGTGTTGTAAAATAAAAGCTTTTTATTCTTTTTTTCAAGGCTGTGAATTTTTGTCTTGTGAGCTTTTTCTATACACAGTTTACTAAAAATATGTTATGGTGTATGCCTTCTCACCAGAGCAAAGAAATGTCCTAATTCTTTTTTGTGATGTAGAGAGAAGGGGTAAAGGGTGGGGGTTTATGGCCCCTAAGGTGGAAATTTTTCAGGGGCATATTTCAAATAGGGAATGACCACACAGCATCAAACAGCAACAAAGCTAAGAAATTTATCTTAGAAGAGACACTGAGCACCTTTCGTAACTTATATTAAAATCTGCCCTCTATTTCACATTTTCCAAAGTAGGACTGGGTTGGGCTAACACTAAGGAAAAAAAATTCTTACTCAGCTGAGGATCAATTTAATTCCTGCTGAAGATCTTTACATATCGCAGTAATCAGGTCCACGGTGTCTATAAAAAAAAACAAACAAACAAAAAAAAATCAATGATGTAACTGTCTGCCCCTTATGTAGAATTTGTGTTCATGAAAATAATGACAGAGATAAAAAATGATGAACAAAATCGTTGACATCAGGCGTCTCTGGCAGTGTCCAACGCCCACTAAAAATGAATCTGCATTATTGCCAGAACTGGGAGCCAAGCTCTCATTCTGTTTGCACAGGAATTAGCTGGCACCAGTGTGATAACCCCAACCGAATGAATTACCTCCCACAGGACACATAACGGATGCTGGTATAACTCTTCTCCAGTGCTGGTTAAGTACTTCTTTCCCAACTGACCTTTTGCCAGATCTCATTGAAGCATCCATCTTTTAATCACACCATTTTATTTAGTGTTTTTTTTTTTGTTTTGTTTTTTGCAGCTTCAACTGGTCTTGCCTGTTGCCCAGTGATCATCAACATTTTTATGGCTACGGCCTTATAGAGCCAAATTAACACTGTTCAAAGCACAACCTATTCAATATGAATTTTAATTAATGTTCAGTCTGAACAAATAATCAACATCAACCAGATGAACACAGATAACTTTTTTTCTGCAGTAACAAAAAACACTGATAACTACAGAAAACAACGAAATTAAACAATTGCACTTAAAATAAGAACAGATCACCTGACCTAGTAACAGAGGCCTGAGTACTTGTTTGTCCTTCATCTCCCACTGCATCAGTCCCTCTTTTTTCACCTCTTTTGTCAACACTGTCATCGTTATTGTCCTTTTTGAAGAAACTTCGGACACTCAGCTGTCATATTTTTTCAAGTGAAACGAACGAGGTCATGCATCAAGTGAGAAAACAGCTAATTAATATGCTAACTCGCCACCAAGTGGTCAGGAGTGTTAATTGCAATCTGTCAAAATGACGGATGGCCTACAGATTTTTACGTCTCCATTTTGTAAAAAACTAGTCATATATGGAAAATATTCAGTTAATGCGACCCCGCACCTTTTGCCTAACCCAGAGACGCAGAAAAGCTGCTCTCCGCCAAAGAAAATGTCAGAGTTTGGCGCAGAAACTGAGTGCCATGAGTTAACCCAGCATGGCTCACCACCTCTTACCCAACAATTCTGCTGGCTGTGATAAAATAACTCTCCAAGAAATAAAACTTATCCAAGAAAGAGCTGAATACAAATGTACAATTTCAGCTTACTTAGTTTGCATTTGCAATCTCCCTGCTCCCATGTGGCATTTAAGTGCATAAATTAGTGTCACGTCGGCTGAGGCTCAAGCATACAAGACGACGTGTTGCATGTAGATGCCGGTGATTGACGCAAGACTGGCAAGAGAGAGCACCCACACAAGGACAGGAGATGAGCAATTTTAATTACTTACTATACTCCATGCCACATTCTGCACGCGCCCGTTCTGTTTATCACATCAACTGAGGGCCATGTTTTAAATATGAATATGTGTATGAACCATAACAACAAACAAACATGGTAATTACGTCCCATGCTAAATTAATTCTGTGATTCCAGCAAAATAGCTATTTTTATGCTTCGATTGTATTCTCACTGCAGACTTCCCAGAAGATATTACCAAACCTGTGTGAATTTTACACAGTGTGTATTTCCTGTCCCAGATGGTGGCATGTTCACAGCAATCAAGAAGATTTTTTATTTTTTTCAAAAACTGCAGAATTTGATGCTCGTGATTTCACAAGCTGATGTGAGATTTTGAAAAGGCTCAATGTTCAGGAGGGAAATTAACACAGGAAGTCAAGCATTACATGTAGCCTTTTCTTTACATTAAGTTGCACTGGAACCTGAAAGGTCAAAGTTTTGCATGTACCTTAGTAGTTTTAATCTCTCTTTGTTACTATAGATGGGCATCGTTGCCTGCCACTTTGTACCAAAAAATCCGAAAGGTTTTCGTCTTTTATACTGATTCCCCACAAAGGTCAGCTTCACATGAAAGACTAATATAAACTGACAGTAAAGGATAATGTTCTGAAGAAACTGACAAATACAAGAAAGGCTTTTCTCCCTCGCTGTTATTATCTTGTAGTGCACTCAATTGTACCTCTTGCAAGTGCTCTTTCGCATGAAATGCTTCCCTGACTTGAATGGATTTGCTGATGTAACGGCGAGATTTTTTAGCTATGATGACTGTAATAACAGTGATTTGTTGTGCCCCCGCCCCTCCCTCTAATGATGCAGCCTCCCGTTGCGATTCTGGGTGAACATCCTCAAGAATCCCCACTTCATCTTTGACGTCCACGTGTCCGAGGTGGTGGACGCTTCGCTGTCCGTCATCGCCCAGACCTTCATGGATGCTTGCACCAAGAGTGAGCACAAACTCAGCCGGGTGAGTAGAAGCGAATGAAGGGCAGAGGAAGAGGAGATAAAGCTGGAGGAATGGGGTGACGGTAGAAGAGAGATATGGAGGGAAGCCATTAAGAATTAGACCCAACGAGAGATAAATGGCACAGAGAAGAAAAATATTGTAGCTGAGTTAATCTTAAATGTTGTTTGTGGGTTTTTAGGACTCTCCAAGTAACAAACTACTCTATGCAAAGGAGATCTCCACCTATAAGAAGATGGTGGATGAGTAAGTACTGTCAGCATTTTATTTGTTTACATGTTTAGCTCCAAATTGTCCTTTTTTTGGAAATCTTTCAGTGGCGTGATTCATAGAGTGGTTACCACCTCTTGTTTCCTCTGTGTGTGTCTGTGTGAACAGCTATTACAAGGGCGTCAGGCAGATGGTCCCCGTCAGTGATCAGGACATGAACACTCATTTGGCGGAAGTGTCACGGGTGAGAGACACGGCTTTCATTTTCTTTGCCTTTTGGCTGACCTTGCTCTTAATGCAAGGTTTCAGTTCCGTTTTCTGAACTGAAACTGAATGCGGTTCTTACAGTTTCAGTTCAGATCTTTACGGAGTCTCTGCTTACTGTCACAACCATGTTTTTGTTCCGAGAAGTAAATTTACTTTTAAAATTAAGCTAGGTTTTTATTAGCTTCCATATGTTTTAGCTTCTGTTCAGAAAAAGCAGTGAATGCTTGTTCAGACAAAAAAAACTGAGAGTTTTAGTTCATTTTTGGATTGATGTTTCAATGTCGGGGAGCCTGTCCCATTAAGATTAAGAATACAGGAACAGGAGAAATCACAAGGGACGTTGTGGCCAGTAATGTAACATTTTGATGGCTGTTCCATATATAATTATAACATGAATGTAATCACCCAGTTTAAAACTTGATAGAATAGTAAACTGTAGCAAAGACTCTTTACAAGGAATAAAACAGTTGAATAGTTTGAAGTTCCTCTAAAATTCATATTTTCATCAAATACAATATAAAAATACTAACAATAATGCTAACTATAAAATGTTATTTAACAAAAAAATGGCATGAAATGTTATGTACGTTTGCTTGAAGCCTGTTATCAAATTTTATTTATTCAAATATCATGTTCAAAACAACTGCCATTAGCCAAAGTGCTACACATAAAATAAAGTGCATTAAAATAATAATGCTGAAAATAATAAACTGCAACAAGATAATAAATCAATTATAAAATTTAATTGGACTTAAATTAAAAACATTTTAAATAAAGCAGAATAGTGTCATGCTGTAATAAAGTCACAATCACAATGCTGCTGAAATGGGATCAAGACAGTAGATGAGGAATTGGCCAAAAGTTGCAGCATTAGATAAGAAACAACAACTTAGCTTGGTATTAATGGAACAAATGGGTTGGCTGGAGATCGTTTGAGTCTGACTGAATGTCTTAATTCTTCCATCAGAAAGTTGTCACTGGGGGCAGTATTGGACCAAATCCAAGCAGCTGAAATTTTCCCAGTTTATGCTAATGAAGCTCAAATATTTCAAAACCCATAAATGGTACAAAAACACTTAGCGACTCGGAGTAGAGCCACTGCTCCTTCACATCAAGAGGAGCCAGCTGAGGTGGTCCAGGCATCTGGTAAGGACACCTCCCTATAGGTGCTTCAGGCATGTCCGACTGGGAAGAGACCCTGAGGAAGACCCAGGACATGGTGGGGAGATTGTGGCCTGGTCCCAATACTTGTATTTCCACCCTTGTGTACTTCAAACATGTGTTCCTGCTGAAGGGTTTGAGTGTGTAGTGTGTCCTAATTCTCCAGAGTGCTCTTTCGCCCTGCCCCCTTTGCACACTTAATCCACACTTTGTCTAGGCCCGCATCCAAGCGGACTTCCCACAGTTCATTGTGCCATATTTCAGATCAGAAATATGGCAATGTCCACCAAGTATGGGATAAATCTTGTGCCAGCAGGAATTGAATTTGAATTGCTCAGATTGAATCTGAATGTGCAAAATTTGAAAATGCATTGGTTTGAAAATGAATTTCACCAAATTGAAACTGAATTTAAAGTTTTAAATTTGAATTAATTTGCTTTGAAAATTTATTTTGGTTTATTAAAATTCAGTTTGACTACTTTCAATTTCAGTTCCAAAATTCAAATTTTTGTGTCACACATCCTGGTCCTTGAGAAAGCCAGCCAGAGTAATCAAACACAGATCCACAGATTTACATTTCACTTTGGTGAAGTTTCCCTTCTGTATGTAACAGCTGATGCAATCCAGCGTAAAAGTGACAAAAACAGTTATTTTACTGCAATGATTAATTTTACCTATAGAAAATGTTACATTTACGTCACATCATGGATCAGTCAGCAGCAGCATTTGATCAATATGAGATCCATGATGTGATGTTAATGTAACATTTTCTATAGGTAAAATTAATCACTGCAATAAAATAACTGTCTGTTTTTGTCACTTTTACAGTGGATTGCATCAACTCTGTTACATTACAGAAGGGAAGCGTCATCAAAGTGAAACGCAAATCTGTAGATCTGTGTTTGATTACTCTGACTGGCTTTCTCAAGGACCAGGATGTGTGACACAAAAATCTGAATTTTGGAACTGAAAGTAAATGTAGTCAAACTGAAATTTTAATAAACCAAAATACAGTTTCAAAGCAAATTAATTCAGATACAAAACTTTAAATTCAGTTTCAAATCATTAAATTCAGTTTCGATTTAGTAAAATTCATTTTCAAACCACAAACCACAAATGCATTCAATTTCAAATTATGCACATTCAGATTCAATCTGAGCAATTCAAATTCAGTTCCTGCTGGCACAAGACTTATCCCATAAGCCGAGCACCTTCCAGTCTAGTGGTGGTGTTAATGCACTTAAACTAGTCTGCTAACTGTCAATAATATTAAAGAAGAGGAACTTATTGAAGAAGGAGGCTTATACTCTGGTGTATACGACTCCTTCGGTTCATGCGCTTTTTTCTCCCAAAAACAATTGCTTGTTGTAGTTGCACATCATTTTTAGCAGTACAAATGCCAAAACAGCAATCGGTCTCACCATTTTGGATGTCGCAGTTACAACACAGATGTGCAAGTCGATGACGTAACCCATTCTGTCCCAAGGATGGGAAGGACTGACTGACTGCACAGGAGGAACAAACAGGATCTGATACACACTAATAGTACATACTAATAATACTTTACTGACTGAAACATGAAGTGTTTGACAGTAAATAATGATTTATTGTCTTGTGGAAACTTTTGCTTGTGGTTTTTTTGTACAGTAGTTTTATTTAGTTTTTTATACCAGAACAAAGTAGTTAATTCAGCAGTGTGAAATGGTTCAGTTTCCATTTTGTCAAATCTCTAACCTTCTAAATTGTCTCTTATGTTTTCCAGTCTCACACAGACAAACTGAACACACAAGTGGCTCTACATCAGCTTTACCAATATGCCAGCAAATACTATGATGGGGTAAGAGGCTCCTCGCTTTTCTATTTCACCCAAAGGAGGCTATTCCACTGTATGCACTACTGCCCACTATATTTCTTTTTTCTTTCCTTCACCCTTGATATGCTAGAAAAGAGACTGTGTAAAATTTTAATTGAAAGCATTTCTGGGGCATGTGAATTGGAAAATTGCTCCGGGAATTGGTTTCTTTTTTTAAAAGTCAGTTGTGCATTGCCACTTGAGGTCACAAAAAGGGATAATAAACAAAACCAGATGAGCAACTTGAATAAATAAATGAGGCTGTCAGTCTCTCCTAAGTGTGTCTCTCCAACAATAACAGCTTAAATGACATAACGGTTTATTTGAAGCAACAATACTCTCTCCCCAAAGCCCTTACCTTATTTTGTGCTTCTGTCTATCCTTCCCATTTTTTTATCATCCCAACATTAACCTTCCTCTTGTCCTTCGTTTGATTCCCTCCTCTTCTGTTGATCGTTCCGACCACTTCGTCGATCACTACTACGACTGTCCTTCTGTCCTTTCAGATCATCGCCTCCCTGGATGAGGATCCAGCTGCACAGAGTAAGCAGCTGACCCTGCGGCTGCAGCAGATTGCAGCAGCCCTGGAAAACAAAGTGACTGATCTCTAGCCCACTGAGACCAAGGAGAGAAGAAGAGGGATATCGCCAGTGACTACAGGGGCTTATTTCTTCATTTCTGTGCATAAATGAAGGAAATAAGAAATCGGAGAGGGGACTTTTTATTATTATTTTTTTGTATGTGTTTATTTCGTGCAGCTCGGCCCTGAAGCACCTTCTTGATCTGTGAGTAACAGGGACTAATTAAATGCACACAGGGAGCAGAAAGAGGGGAGGAACTGATGGGTTCCTCTGTCATAGGTACGCCTTAAATCTCACTTGCCAAAACTTAAATGTCTGAGCCCTCGCTCATGCTCCACCGAGCACTGCTCCTACAATGCAGTACGAGAGACCTCTCTCTGAGAATTAAGCCCCTCTGTGGAGCACTGGTATGACAGATAATCAAATGTTGAATTTCTCTGTGTGGAAAAGGTTTAAAGAGTTGTATTATATATATATTTTTTATCGTGCAGTCTTTATCCAGAAAGCTTTATAAGGAAAAAAAAGTATCTTTTTAATTGGATCACTTTGTGGTGCGGACAGTGTTTTTATTAGCCCGTGTGTGTGTGTGTGTGTAGATGTCTGCGTGGAGTTCAACCTGTGAGCAAAAGTGTGTTGCTAAATGTGTGTGTGTGCATTACGAATGTGTGGGAATGTGCACACAGGATGCCTACGTTCAGGCGTGAGGGCGAAGGGACGCCTGCTTTCTGTCATCGAAACGCCCCGACGCTCGGTCCGACCACCCACCCCCACCCCGGAGCCTACGTTCCCCCCCATGGAGCTTTACGACAAAGACCAAAGGGTCCTCACAGGGACATCGGTGAATCTAGTAACGTATGGGCTCATGTGGATGACGGCTCACCAGTGGTTTCAGACACGTTCGAGTGGCACGCTGTGATTTGAACATGTGGTTGCCACTTGTGCTCGTGGAAATCAGTAACAGCACAGTCTGTCTCCCTTTACTGTACAGTGCCATGAGACATTCCACTCAACCTAAAGCACAGAGGTACATTTCAGAGTTTCTTTTGTTTGTTTGTTTGTTTGTTTGTTAGACATTTCAGAAAATGACTGATTTTTGAAGTTTTTAGATTTGTTTGATGTATTGCTATTTCTTGGAGTAAGTTTAGCAAAGAGCAACTTATGGAGCCACGTCACTCATTTTAGCACTGCAATAATGTCAGTATCCCATGAGCCACAATACACAATTGCATTTTCATTCTAAATGCCATATCGTAGAAATTCAGCAATATGTTAAAATCATTCCAAATTGATTTGTATTTTTTTGTGTTATTTTATTTGTTTTGTACCATTTTTGTACTCTCACCATTGTAATGTTATATCAATATTTCTGCCTCTAAAGCTATTAAATAGCCTAATGTTGATGTTAATAATCTGCAACAAATGCAGTTGGTACTGCAATGATCAAACTATAGTAGTTTTTTCTGTTTTTTATTTTTTTATTTTGATGATGTCAAGAAGGTCGGGCTCAGTCATGTACATAATTGCTATGGTGTTTGAAATATTGACATGTCAGTGTCAGAGTGTGGACAGGGTTGCAGTGAGAGTTTGATATTCCCTAGGCCATTAAACACCATTCCGAAATTGTAGGTCTTGCTGCTGACAGATGATTTAATTGTCCTCACTTGTATCTGATCATGGACGATGCGCGCGGTTGACACGGAGCAAGCAAGCTCCAGAGACCCCAGAATGTTAACGACTCCTGCCTTGGCGAGAGTGACGTTTGCAGCCGACCTCGAGCCTGCCCGCCTGCCGTCTCAGCGTGGCTCTCCGGCGTCCCGGATAACAGCATTTGGCACTGCCCACTCAGTGCGATGCAGAGTGGCACTCTGTATAATGGAATCAGCAGGGGAGGCTTTTGATCTTAATTGCATGCCGACTGCAGACTCCATCCTTGTCTCCACCGTTGTTTACTGGTGACTCCTTTCTCACTGACAGAGTCGATGCAAGAATCTTATTTCAGAGCCTTTCTTTAACCAGAAATGTGCCTTATTGAATAGGATATTACATATATATTGTTTCTAAATTATTCCATTGGTAACCTAGGTGACTATGATGATAATAGTACTTATAGACACAGCAATGTATTTGGACTTGTGGTCTTAGGTGTGCTGTCTAATGCTAGATGCCCTGCTGCAGCCATTCACGTGCCAGTTGGCTGAAGAGATTTCAGTATGATTTCTTTTATGGTTGCAGTTTTGATGTGTGTATTTCCCTTTGGGTGTCTTTGATGTGTGCTTACTAGGACTTTGGTGGCTAAAGCAAAATGTCAAAACAAATGTAAAAAAGAAAAAAAATTGGCCAATTGGATTTGGGTTTCTCTTGAAAATGTGACATTCCTAAATTAGTCTACAAACAAAAAGGGTATCTTGATGTACAATTGAATAATGAGCAAAACTGTTCCAATGGTGGTATTTAAAAAAAAATTTTGCCCTGTGTTTCTATGCTATTCTATAGTGTGTACGATAAATGACTACTATACTCGACAAATGACCTTTCTTACTGCTGTGCAGTTATTTTTATTTTTTTGTTTCCTATACCATATAAATCTTTGTAAAACGAGTTGAAATACTGTATTCTAACTGTATACCCTATGCATTGGTTCCTGGGGGGATAACTAAATGTAAAAATGAAAAAAAAATGTTTGTGCTATTGTCGATTTCTTTTTTTTTCCCCCTCACATTTTGAAACTTGTGAATGTGCTGTAACGCTAAAAGAAACTGGGACATTCCATTTTGAATACAAGAGCAGTAATGGAAAGCCACTGTTTTTCTCCCCACCCCACCGTCCAAGGCAGCTCATAAGATTTTCAGTCTTTTACCTGATCTGGTCGTGCTGGATGAACCTAATTTTTAGGAAAAGTCGTGCGTGTGGACAGAGCAGTTACCCACAGGTTTCATCATACACTTCTCCGTGAATAAACTCAGAGACATATATACCCTTCATTTGACTGTGTTTCTTTCACTTGTGCAATATCGATTTGCTTTGACTCCACACTCATGCTTTATTCATGAAGGGGTAACAATCACCTTGGGTGATAGAGTTGCCACAGGCAGCTGATTTCTTGTTAAAGTGAACTATGTGTTCTTAAATCTTTTGATATTTACACGGCTCACAAGATGGCCTTAGACAGAATGAAAGGCTTCTGAATCAGCAGGAGTATTTAAGATGGATGAAAATTAAAAGCAGCCTTGCTTTCTGAAAAGAAGTGCTTTAACTTTATATATTTTTATTTCGTGGCACATTCTTGCGTTTTATGGTCGTGAATGCTGTATCTTCCCCGATAACATGGATCTTCAAACATGCCCTGTGATGGTTGATGCTCCCTCCCCAGCCTACAAACAAAATGCCACATCAGGTTCGTGTCACACTGCCTGGAATACAAACAAGAAGGTCCCTTTGCTGGCTTCATGAAGTGACTTCATAATATAAAAGGCAGCGCGGCATCTCTGCCATCAGTGGTGAAGGTTAGAAAAATTGTGCGGAAAACATTAATTAAATACTGACAGCTGAGAATGAAATTGGGTGGGAAGAGAAAGATGAAAGGCAAAAAAAAAAATTAAAATTTTCCATTTCTGGCTGATTAACAAACCATGGTGCCGGTGCGGATATATCAAAGACAGACCAGAGGCCTGCGTAGGCCATCTTCTGAGTGAGCAGTTTATTGATGTAGCAACAGATGGAGCAACTTCAAGGGCTGCAGAATCAACTTGATTAACGCAAGTGCTACATTTAGCACATTATCCTTGATCACTAATCGTAAATCAAAGGCAGTGCTGTGCTTTATGTTTCTGTTAGATCGTGTAGCTGTTTTCATTTTTGGGAATCGACATTCTTTGCACTTAAAGGTTTAAAATATAACTCCCAACCATCTCTATTTAACTCAATACTTATAATCACAGTAATTAGGAAAAATCAGCTTATGCAGGTAATTCAGCATGAAATCAGGTTCAAATATACACACTGGTTTCTGTTCTTCCTAGCAGCCATCTTCACTAATAAACCAGTCCTATAATGAAGTGGTTGGGGGGGGGGGGTCTTCCTTTTTTGCATTAAATGTTTAAAAATATATTTGAACATGTCTCTCAGTCAGGTGTTGCTGCAGTCAGAGTTGACAAGTAACAGCATATGCTTGGTTACTTGAGTGTAAATTTTGGTTATTTACACTTCACCAGACTGATTAATTTTGGCCAACTTTTTACTTCTATTCCTTACATTTTCACACAACTATCTGTATTTTCTGCTTTAAGTTCATTCTGGTTTGTCATTGTCATCAAGACAAACCTATCCATATGATGCATACTAAATAAAGTGAGTTTAATTGTGGTTGATGAGAAGTATAAATGACACCCTGTAGGGTTGTACTCGATCCATCACACCATATGACACAAATCATGTTGCTCCAGCAGAACATAGTGATGACCGTGACAGAGATATAAATGCAGCTGAAAAATGAAACCTAGTGCATCGTCAATTTTCAATTTTGACATTTTAATATAACTATTGTTGTCTTTATAACTTTTACAAAAACGTTTTTTGGGGAGGTGGAGTTGTGCACTAAAAGCCTCTGTGGTGCAGCCTAAACTTTTACCTGGCTTTTTTTAACATTACTTTTATAATTTATGTAGTTTTAAAACCAGTACTTTTACACTTTCACTTGAGTAAAAGGCTTGAGTTTTTAAACCTTAATATCTATTTTTGTACTTAAGTAATCTATGTTAAGGTGGTTAAAGTAGTGGAACAAAAAAGCTAAGTAAAAGTAAAAAAAAAAAAGACTGATAATTTCACTGATGAGGAGAACTCAGTTTAGTGGAACCAGTTGACATAACTCGTTTAAGTAAAGTCAACACTTCATTTTTCCTTTCATGAGTTCTGTCATGTAAAAATGTAAAAAAGTCAAAGTTTTCATGTTGGAATGTGACACAAAAGTTACGATAAAAAAATACTTTGTAAAATTACAGATGCCCAAAAGATTATTTGAGTACCATAACAAAGTAAATGTACGTTGTTCCTATACACCGCTGGTCAATTTTTTTTGACACTTCTGGCTGCTGCAGCATCCTCCACACCCCTACTTTAAGGTCTAGGTCCCAACAAACTTCCTGACTCACCTGCGTATACAATACTGTAGCTTTTACTTCATCTGCTGAGACTCATATGAACTTAGTGAAGTCTGAAGGCCCTGTCATACTACAAAGTTTTAGACAACTTATGGCAGCTTATTAAGTTTTTCCCAATAATAAAGATGTCTAAGTTGAAGATACAATTGGAAGCCCCTTTTGGACCTGCAGTGTATTTGTAACAATTAGATCGAAAAGACTATATGAGTAAAATAGTCATGAAAAATGTCATTAGTCAGCATAAGTTGTCTAATATGTTGTAGTAGTAATTTTTATTTTCATGTGTGTTGAGCACCAGTTGTCCAGCCCACACGGGCTTACAAGATGTATTAAACACATTTATGCAAGCAGACAGACATAAACATGCAAGTGTTCTCTTCCTGAGATGCCGGACCTTTAAAATAAACTAAAGTGAAACACAAAATACTTAAATAAAAACTGCACTTTTAGCTTCATAAGTTAAATTTGAAAAAATCTGGATAAACATAAAATATTACCAAATATTTGATTTCTCAAACTCATATACAAAGGACAGTAAAACAAAACGTGCATTTCATTTTCAATTTCACCCAAATCACATAAAGAACATAAACAATCCTCCTCTGGAACTGAACGAAAACCTCCAGAACCAGAGGAAAAGTGTGAGATCTAAATTGTGCACAAAAAGACCTTTGATGTTTAGATAGGTTCCATGTTGCATGGCTCAGGTCTATAAACATCCTTTATATAGCTTCGTAATTTTGCTTTAGGTAGAATATCCTCTGCCATTATGCTTAGTAACTTCAAAATAAAACTGATTAATCTGTTCAATACATCTCAACTCATTTCTATACAACCTGTGAGCAAATGTGTTTCTGGCCCAGATACCCATTTGACAACTCCCAATCAAAAAATGTGTTTGTTAATCTATGATCTGATATATTGAAGTTTTTGTAGTGATAGTTGTAAGAATTTACGGAAGAGGATTAGGGCCACTGAAAAGATAAAATAAAAGGGAATAACTGACTTTAATCTCAGAATTCTGACTTTTTTCTCAGAATTCTGGGATTAAACGCAGCATTGCGTCATTCTGACGTCATACAAAGGCAGAGGCAGGAAAAGTTGGAAGGTTGACTTACTTGTCTGAGGACAGAGGCTTTGTTCAGACGTATTAAACTCTGGGAGAAATATTCTTAGAAATATGCATTTAGCGTAAACAAAATGACTCGAAGGCATTGGGAAATACCAACCCAGTGGGCTGATTCGTGGATTCTGGTGCAGGACGAGAGGCTGAAAGAAAGAAAAAAAGATCATCTGAGGGCACAATTACCTACTGAAATTTCCATGCGAGATGCCTACAAAAGGTTGTGTGAAAAGTCCCAGGCTAAACCACACACAATACAGGAATTATGTCATGAATACATTTTGAGATCAAATGATAAATACAAAAGACTGTATGAACAATCCCAGACTGAGCTACGTAAGACTCAAGAACTGTGTGACGAGTACAAATCAAGACTTGCATCCGTTAATGTTTCTGAAAAACATGAAACTCCATCTGAGCTTGGGATTCCAAAAGCACCACTGATAGCTGCTCAGATTCCAAGGCAAACTGTGGTATCAAAAGTACAGACCTCTCAAATTCCAAGGCCCAAGTTTTTTCCACGTTAGACTGTGATTCCAAAAGTACCAGAGACAACTGCTCAGATCACAAGTCCAGAGCCAAAGACTTCTAAATGGTGGCATTTCTTCACTGAAAATATGACAATGGCAAAACTGACTTTGGGTGGCGTGTCCTGTGTAGCCATATCAGCTGTGGCTTACTTACGGTATTTACACACTTTGCACTTAAAATACAAATCCTTTGAAAACTGAAAGCCCTGGACACTTGCGACCTGTCCAGGGTGTACCCCGCCCCTCGCACTGCGACTGCTGGACATGGGCACCAGTGACCCACGTGACCCTGAAAGGAATAAGCGTGTACAGAAAATGGATGGAGGATCAGAATGCCTCTTGTTTTCAATTCCTGCTTGACAGTGTAAACATTATTTGTATAGTTGTCTTTCTTTCACTTTGCTCAAACTGTAACTCTAAAAACTACAGAACTGCAAAAAGCTAAATTTAAAAAAAATTTGACAAAACCCAAACCCTTAGGGGAACAAAATACCCTGAAGAAGATGTAAATAATAAATGAAAAGTAAAGTGCACAAGAATAGACAAAAAGAGATGCAAAATGCTGAGCTGACTGTTAAAACAAAATGCAAAATAACCGATAAAATACACAAACTAACCAAGCACTAAGACACAGCTGAGAGGGGGAAAAAAATCTCTACAAGTGGAAAATAAATTCCCAGCAAGGGACCCAAAACTCATTAAAAGATGAACAGAGGGTTTTTCACAAGTCTGTGCCTGGGGGCCTGCTGTTCGTGCAGCTGAATTAGTGAATGCAGGAAGTTTTTTCTCTTAAATGTGCTCATCACAGTGTAAAGCAGGTGTGTGTATAAGATATCAACTTGTAATGTAAATTAAGGCAAAACTTATTTGGTTATTGTGTGAAGTATGAGTCTTGCTTTTTTCATATATAATTATGGGGTGGCTGTGGCAGAGTGGTTAGGGGAGTTGTACTGGAACCGGAAGGTCGCTGGTTCAAGCCCCCATCCAGCTGTCTCAATTGTTGTGTCCTTGGGCAAGACACTTCACCCCAATGCCTCTGATGTGTGTCCCATCAGTGTATGAATGTGATTAACACTGATTAGTCTCCACAGCTGATTGTACATGTTAGCTTTGTAGAGACCTGGTAGAGTGCTGTGTGAATGGGTAAATGAGGGCACACATTGTAGTGTAAAGCACTTTTAGTGTCCTGGATGGATAGAAAAGTGCTATATAAGTACAGTCCATTTACCATAGGAAACAAGTGTATTTTTCTAAAATTATTTAGTGCAGCTTTTTCCTGTCATCGAGGTCAAATGTACCAGGATAAGCTGTGGGTAATGCTAAACATACCTGCTGCTAGATGTAATTTAAACTAGAGAATTTGCATTTCTGGCGAAAATGCTAGTGTGAGAGCCTCTTGCTGATAACTTTAGCTGAAGAACAGCTAAGAAACAAACTGATGATGTCACTGATGATGTCACAGATACACAGACAGACAGCCCCATTCAAAGTCAATGGGAAAAAAATGATAAAAAAGGTGAAATAGGTAAAAAGTATAAAAAGTTAAGATACCATAAGTCATTGCCGGAATGGCAAGAATGAGCTGAACATTTTGATATATCCTTCCATCCATTTTCTGTACACGCTTCTTCCTTTCAGGGTCGTGTGGGTCACTGGTGCCCATGTCCAGCAGTCACAGTGCGAGGGGCGGGGTACACCCTGGACAGGTCGCAAGTCCATCACAGGGCCACACATAGAGACAAACGAGACAAACAACCATTCACTCTCTCACTGATATACAGTATGAGTTGTAGAAACAGCACAAAAATTGTGGAAGGTGATAGGATCCAATTAATACAGAGAAAAATGAAAACAATAGTGTGAATGCTGTCAAGGCATTCACACTGATAACAGATTACTTAAAACAATTAAACAGAAACTTTAATATAATAGCACTCTCAGAAACATGGCTTAATGATGGAAATGTGAATGATGTTAATGTTGAGGAGTATGAGCTTTATTATATTAACAAAAGTAATGGAAGAGGCGGTGGAGTAGCTCTATTAATTTTTTTTTTGTTGCCACTTCAGTAGAAAGCAGAACTGAATATCTGAATGCTAGTATCTTAGCTTCTTCAACATCACCTTTTTTTGTTAAGGAGAAAAAGAAAGAGAAAGAAAAAAAGTGAAATGTAATGAGAAAGAGTGAAAAAGAGATTAGAAGCTATATGAAATATATATCGAGAAAATACAAGATAGCACACCTGACATCTTGGCTCCACACCTGCAAAAAAAGATAACAAAATCACAGCAACAAAAATGCATAACTATATAATTACAATGATTATAGCCTTGCTGAAAGCTATATATCTATATCTATATATCTTAGAGAAATTATTGTCACCAGATTGGATCAATTTATCAAAGCAGTATGGGTTTAGAGCTAAAAATTCCACATCAATGGCTCTTATGGAATTTATGGAACAAATAACAACTGCTATCTATCAAAAACAGTATTGTTTGAGTATTTATGTAGGTTTAAAGAAAGCATTCGACACAATTGATCACAGTATTCTTCTTGAAAAATTAAGTAAATATTATTAGGTATAAATATTAATATTATTAAGTATTAGAGGGTCGGCACTAAAATGGGTATCTAGTTATTTGAAAGATAGTAAACAGTTTGTACATATAAATGTTGTAAGATCTAAACTTGGTAATATCACATGTGGAGTCCCACAAGGTTCTGTACTGGGACCTAAGTTATTTACTTTATATGTGAATGACTTAGTAAATGTGTCAGGACTTTTCAAATGTGTTTTATTTGCTGACTATACAACATTTTTTTTGTTTAGGTAAAGATTTAGAAAAATGTTTGAGATGGCAGAAAGAATTTAAGAAAATACAAAATTGGTTTCAACAAAACAAATTATCATTACATTTGGATAAAACAAATTACATGATATTAAGTAACAAGAAGACAACTGTTGATTTCTCATTTAGATGGTATTAAGATCTGCAAAGTCAGTGAGGTGAAATTTCTCGGTGTCATTATTGATGACAAGCTGACATGGAGACCTCACATACATTATTTAAGAACAAAAATATCTAAATCTGTTGGAGTACTGTATAAAGCCTGAGAGTTGTTCAATGACAAAGCTGTGCTTGTGTTGTACAATTCAATAATTGTTCCACATTTAATTTACTGTATTGAAGTCTGGGGTAAAGCTTGCAAAACTATTACAAATCCAATTTTTGTTTTGCAGAAAAGAGCCAAAAGAATTGTCGCTAGAAAAGATTACAACCATCCATCAAATACATTATTTTGCAAACTGAAAATTTTGAAATTCTATGATTTGGTTGACTATAATATTTTACTGTTTATGTTCAAGGCTCACCGAAACGTATTACCTTCCGGCGGTTGTTATTGTCTTAAGGGGATGGAAATGTTTGTGAAGGTATATGGAAAATTAAGATGAGAAGCTATATGAGTTGTTATTTGAGTTGATGTTTTTAAATTTAATTTGTATTTTTTGTTAATTGTTTGTTTGAAATGTTCTGAGGATAAAAGGTAGGCATCATAATATTTATTCTTCTTTTGCTACCTTTCATTTTATTTTGATTTTTGATTTGTGCAATTTCATTGTTTTTTATTGTATATAGTTATTTTTTAATTAAATGAATAAAATTTTTGAATTGAAATGTTTACTAAATTATCATAATACTCAAATGTGATGTGTTTAAATTCAGATTGCTTTAAATTGCAATTTACTTCACTCCTTCTAAAATTATCATCGTTGTGGATGTGCCATATTTTTTATCATTAACTCCTGTTTGATGACTTAATTTGCAATATCCCATCCATCATTCTACAAAAGCTCACCTTATAACTTGTTATTTCAACAACATGGTACCATGAATGCACATTTTCCGCGCAACACTTGAATGTGTCAGAGGCGGTATTCTTGCATGTGATTGACTGACACATCTGACCAATCAGTGTGACCCGGAAAGCGCTTATCCAATCAGATGCAGGTAAGAAGATTCATTCTGCGTATGGTTGAATATTGAAGGAAGCAAGTAACTAACTGACATTTTGCTACTATCATATATATGTTTTATTATCTGGGACTATGATGTAGAACAAAAATTAAAGGGACAAACAAGAAGCCACTGGAGCTACGTATAATGCCCGACTGGGTTCAGCATGTTTTTCTTTTTTTTTTTTTTTAGTTCGGCTTGACTAGCAAACAATCCAGTTGGTAGCAGCTAACACTAGCATGGTGGAGAACCGAGAGCCATCGGTGGATGCAGGAAGGTTGAACTGACAGCACTCTATCAGAGGAGGACAGACAACATCAGTAAGCATCTTTATATTTACGTGGTCTGAAACTAGTTTTATGCAGTTCTACGCTTTTGCTGGCGCTAATGTTGCTAACCTCTAGCTAGCTGCGTGAACACACAGAGACGTCAACAACTCCCTTTTCTCACGATATACAACAAGTGTGTTTTATCATTAGCTAGAGTCGAGGTTTATTTGTTATGCATGTGTTTGTTTGTGTTTGTTTTCCAAGTCTGTCATAACGCGTTCATTGATGCGTTTGTTGTGGCTCAGTCTGGTACCAAACAAAGTTCAGAAACCATAAGAGTTGAAAGGGAAACAAGTATTTTTTTTACGAAGACGTCACAAAGTAGAAGACAACAGTATATTTAAGAACAACAAATATCACATTGTTACAGTAAACATAATGGAAGACACAGTTTAATGGCCAAACAGAAAATAAGGATATAAAATACTATTTCAAAATACAAGCATCGTTTTATATGTACGTCATAGATATATACATTAACTGCTCTGTAGAAGAGGTCTCCAGTCCCATTCGTTGTGACCCACAGTTCTGCAGTTTTTAGATGTTTTCCTGCACACCTGACCTAACTGAAATGAATAAGCTGCTAAAACATGATGACATTTAGAGTTGGTAATTTAATTATTTGAATCAGGTGTGTCAACGCAGGGAAACAGCTACAACATGCACGACAGTGGGTCACAGTTGAAGACCCATAGCTGTATTTTTAATGACATTTACAATAAACACTATGTACCACCTGAGGATGTTTAAATGCAGTTGTGTTTAAGAAATACATTTTATAGATATTAAGATTTAATAGCTTTGTGTACAGTTAGTGACTGTCATAAAATTGTGAAGAATTGTGGAAGTGCATTATTAAAAGTAACATATTGCAAATTTAAAAAAAAATCACACCACCAAGAGGAACAGTTGTTGAAGGATATGTGTGTGTGAAATAAATAACCAGCAGAAATAACAACAATGAGGAATTCCTGCCAGTGTAAACAGAGGCCCTGGGGCAGGGCAATATGGCTGAAATATGTATCTTGATATAAGCGTAATTGATTAGTTTTTTGTTTTACTTATTTGAAATAAGGACCAACCTAATTAATTCTGCCAAACTGGTGATGTGACCTTTCCTCTTATCTACAATTTCCTCTTGATCTGTTGCACTCATTTTCCCCTTTCGCTCCACATCTTTCTTTAAAAAAAAAGCTGTTATAACGCACATTGGCAAAACATAAAACTGATACTGTGCATGTTACCCAATATGTTGCTAGCTTACCAAAGAGTCAGTGAGTGAGTGAGTGAGTGAGTCAGTCAGTCAGTCAGTCAGTCAGTCAGTCAGTCAGTCAGTCAGTCAGTCAGTCAGTCAGTCAGTCAGTCAGTTAGTTTATCAGTCAGTCAGTCAGTCAGTCAGTCAGTCAGTCAGTTAGTTAGTTAGTTAGTTAGTTAGTTAGTTAGTTAGTTAGTTAGTGCCACCAACCTTGCTTAGCTGGGCCATGAGAGGTTGAGCAGCTAAAGCCTTTCCTCTGCCAACATTTCCCATCTCCACCTCAGCATTCAGTGAAACTACCAACATTCTAGACATATTTTCTATTGATACTGATCATGTGTTTATTGCAATAACTTTTATATTGTTATTGTTTATTGTCCAGTCCTACACTAAGTTAGCATCTCAGAGCTACCACAATAGCTGTCCACTTTGTTTTATAACTCAACATGACTTTTTTGTTGGAAACTTCTGTTTGTTTTATTTAAAGCATCTGAGGCAGCAGCTCCACCATGTACCTAAGCTCCAACAACCCCACAAAGCCCATCTGCACCAGCAGCAGCATCACCGACCTGCTGAACGCCCTCTGCAGCTGCAGCCTTTCCGGTGTGTCCTGGAAGCGCAGAGCCCTGGGAGGAGTTTCCAAAGAAAGTTTCCACAGAGCACTCAAGAAACGAGCCTACGGCGCCCTGTTGTCTAAGCTGTTTCAAGATGGCACCAAAGGCCCTGCCTCAAGACAGAGTGCCACGGCTAATACGCCAGCCAGAAACAAAGTCCTCATGATGTGCTTTGACCTTAGGGTGGCAGGGTGTCGGGAGGAAGCAGAGAGGCTGGAGGAGCTGCTGGAGAAGCTGCCTGAAGGAGAGTCCTCTGGTCTGAAGGAAGTAGATGCGGTGCTTGACCTCCTGGTGTGTCTAGCTGGCTGCGCGCCCCCACCTTTCACCTCCTTCAATAAAGACTACATGAGACGAGAGAGGACGGTTCTGCGGAGGCCGCGACCTTGGAGTTACCAGAGCAAGGAGCTGCAGAGGCTCGAGGCACGAGCGTGGGGTCTGGTCTGTGCAGAGGAATGGGGGACCTTGGAGACTCTCCATGGAACTAATCGCTTAATGGATGCTCTACCGGGCACAGGACTGCTAGCTTTGAAGACTAAATTGGAGGCAGAAGAAAGATTTGAGAAAGAAACCAGGCTGACATTGTTTGGAGCACTGCAGCACAGTCGTACATCAGACTTAGACATCAGGCTGGACATGCCTCCCATTCCCAGTAATGTTGACGTTACTGGGTTGGTTATCAGGGTAAGAGACTTTACCTAGTAAGTAAACAGACATGCAGCAGGTCTGTAGTGGTTTTATGTAAGTGTTTGGAATTAATTAGATTGGATGGTTTGTGCAGATTCCCTCCAGTTTAGATCAGTCTGAGGATGAGGGCTTCCAGTCGGCCTCAAACCTGACCCCAGACTCTCAGTCAGAGTCCAGCCCCGTTCCAGACATCGATATTTGGGAGGCTCTCCGCACATTTGAGCCTGGAAGACGCCGCTGCTGGGAGTCTGTTGGCTGGTAAGTGACCTTTTGCTCTGATCACACGCATGCTAAGCTGAAACTGTATATAAAACACCAAATGGTCTCAAAATGATATTCCCAAACAGATAATGGGGATTTTAATTTTGCCCTCTTCTCTCTCACCAGCCCACCAGGAAAACGGGAGTCTTTCTATCTGACGGAAGGTGGCAGGGAGGCCTTTGATCAGCTCTACCGGCTGTGGGAGGGAGAGATGAGGGTGGTGAGCTCGGGGATATCCTCTCCAATCCTCCTGCTTCCCCTGGACTCCCAGAGGCAATTAGTATCTGACCTCCTCAATGTCCTGATAGGAGTGGCGTCCACTACCTTCCCTCTCAACCAGGTGCAATTTATCATCATCTGTTGGTCCCTAAAATGCTGTTAAATGCATTAATTTCCTTTACTTAGTGCTGCCACTGGGCAACTTAGGCAAGTACACAAAGAGGTGAGAATCAATGAGCAATTAGTGCATGAGATATAACAAAGCCAGTTCTCCTAAAAAAAAAAATAAAAAAACTTATTACCCCAAACTTTATTACTTCAAAGAAACGAGCCAAAACATGTCAAGTCAATAACCTGATTAAATGATCAAGAAGTAAATTACTTTGTTCTTGATGCTAAAAAACTGAGCCAAGAAGAGACGGTTACTTTATTGTTTCATTAAGCTTTTTTCTTCCCCAGAAACTTGTCTACATTTTGCAACACAAATAGCATCTTGAGTCTCTTTTTTCCCGTTTTACTTCCAGCTATGTTTTTACCATTGTTTCCATGAATGTTTGGTTGTGTTAACGTAATATCGCATGAACCGCTGGACGGATATACAGAAATACTCTCAAAGTAATGATTGGGTTTACATTGCAGTTAAATCCGGTTACTTACCGCAGCCGACTATTTCTGGCCTTCAAGCTGCCTACATGCTGTCTGCAGCCTGTTGTCAGTCCAGCTCCCAATCCGGGAAAACATGAAAGGTCTTGAACCCAATCCTGGATGTTGATCTGATC